ATGCCTATTTAGAGATAATACATCTCTCTGGGGGCACCAACTCATACAATGTACTGTACAGATTGGGTGATTCATTCAGCATTAGATTATCTTCTTTGGGTTTGCTCCCCCCCTCTTAAGACGAAACAGCCTTCGTTCATTGCCGTAATTGACTCTTCCATAAATCTATGTAGGGGACATCGGGGCGGAATGGCATCCCTAATAGTTTTTTTCTTTTGAGAGACTAAAATCATGGTATACGCTTCAAAAAATGCAGAACTATTTATTAAACTGTTGTTAACGTAATACAAGCAAAAAGTAAACATGAAAGTATCATCGTTTTTTTTGGCTTCATTCTGTTTACAAGTGTCCTTCACTTCATTCTGCCCTTCCCACGGGGCATAATGGGGTACCGGTTGTTTTCGTGCTTACATAACTCACAGACAAGTACAGACTCGTCGCCGTCGCTCTCTATCCCCACACGCGCATTGTGGGACCACTTGTTGCACTCGAGGCACGAAATCCAACCTTCAGATGAAATTGAATGTTGTCCCTGCAATATAAACATAAAGTGTGTTCTTCCTTCGCAGAGCTTTCTTCAACTTCGATCTTTTGTTTTTGTGGCATATACATCGCCCTTTTTTCTGTTTCTCGCCATACAAATTCTTTTTAGCTTTGCTTTTTGTGTTTCCCTAACCTGGTTTGTTCCCTCCATGTCTTCGGTCAGTTCTTTTTGATAAGGAGACGATGTAAGAAGAGTGGTTTTGCCTCTTTCTTCTCTGCACTCGTTTAACAGCGATCTTCACTTTTGGCATTGTCATAACTTCTTGAGAAAGCAATGGAAAACTGGAGCTACCAGGTGTTTTTTATTGGTGCATTAGAAGAGTCAGGCATCCAGTATCATTGGGATAGAGGGTCACCTTGCCTTTGGTTCCATTTGTCATCGTGTCATTGGGAGGTGGGGTTGAGGTCTTATTAGAGGTATCCTTATTTTCTGTAGGACTATCTTGAACTGCAGGCTCATGGAGTGGAACAGGATTAGCGTGTGTTTCAGAACCGACTTCTGTTTCAGCAATGGGAATATTAGTTGCCTGTGCTGGTAGGAAGTCATCCTCCGTGACGATACCCTCATTTGTTGGCCAAATACACTCTCAACAGTTTGCATTCACCAGTTAGTGCCGGTGCACAGAAGCGTTTTTTAACGGTGTGGTGACCAGACGTCAAATAACGCGGGTCGCACAAATACATTCGCTACAATGGAGCAGTTCACAAGAACGTCGACGTCGCCCACCGTTGTTTCACCGTTGGTAACGGCGCGTTGAAATCCCCACCTCCGGTGACTGCTAGAACGCTGGCGGTCTTTCGCCGTCGGACGTCAAAGCAAAACATTACGACGTTAAAAATGACGGAGGTTGACTATGAAATCGAATTGTTAATTGAAGAGGTGAGGCAATATCCAGAACTATGGGATATAGGTAGTGAAAACTACAAAAACAAAAATGAAAAAATGACCGCTTGAATAGAAGTTTGTGGCATTCTCAACACAGATTTCAAAAACTAGGACGAAGCCACTAAAAAGGCTTTCGGTAAGTAGGAATATTTATTTACTTACGTCATAATGGACTATTGCGCAAAACAATAGGGCAATGGAAATTGCAGTATAAATAATGCCCGCGCAATTTATAAAGTGCCCAAAGGGAAAAATATGACAAAATGATAAATTATTTCACATTGCTCGGGAATTATGACTACTGGAACTCTACTGGGTAATTTAAGAATATTTTTATTCATCTTTCTCTTCATACAAAAATAAGAGGATACATACAGTGACGGCAAACTAATTGGAAACGTTTTTTAAATGAACTTTTATTTGTCGAGAGTTCGAAGGGTTTTAAGTTTCTAAGAAAATTTCCTTGCAATAATAATTCCCGATATTCAAATTTTATTATTTATTGCTAAAAAGTTGCGGGTTACTAAATATTATTATGTTTATTAATCCACACAAAGTACATTCAAATATGACTGTTGAAGGATAGTAAACCAAAATGGCTCAACAACGAATTATATTCAGCGCAATTTATGCGTCACCAAATATGCGTCCTTAAAACCCGCCGTCTGGGCTATTAGTGTTTATCGTCATCTTGATTTATGTTACCATGATTGCTTCTTACAGGTATGTACTTACAGATTTATATATACACAAATCGTCAAATCCTAGAGTTTCCATTTATTAGAGCAGGTTCCACATACCTAATATGTTTTGTTAGTTTGATAGTTATATAAAAATTTGTCTGAATATCACCCATCCTCTTATTTTTGTATGTGGAGATATATGAATAAAAATATTCTCAAATTGCCCATTCGACTTCCAGCATTATTCATTATTCTCGGACAATTTGGACACATTGGAACGAAAAAGCCCTTCTCCTTCGGGAGTCGGGCTTTTTCGCCACAATATGAAAATAAACTCATGCAGTTTTTAGACAACAAGCTTCCATGCAAAATTATTGGTAATTTTGAAGCACTTGTGCAATTACCCCCGATTACCTCAAACGATCCTGCCAAGGCCCTGTGCCACTAACGAAATAATCAGCCCATATGTTGTGCTGTTGATTTAAAGCAGGTCCACCTTGAGGTATGTTCCGGGCAGCTTCCGGGACAAATAGTCCGTCAATGTTTAATGTCTCATCAAACAAAGATCCATCGCGTTTACGTACAAAATTATGTAATATACAACAAGCTTTGACTATATCTCTTGCAAAATTCAAATCAACATTTAGTGGTCGGTGCCGAATTCGCCATTTCCTGGTCAGGATACCAACGGCCCAATCAACATAACGGCGTGCTCGGCTAAGGCGGTACTTACAAATACGTTTCTTTTGACTTAAAACGATACCACTGAAAGGCCGCAAAATATACTGAGACAGAGCAAACGCCTCGTCTGCAGCAAATACATATGGCATTACACGACTAGTTCCGGGTAGCACTTTTCCACTCGGAATATTGAAAGAACCATATTCAAGCTGCATATTAAACGATGACTTCTTAAAAATACTGTTGTCAGAATCTTTACCCGGTGCACTAATGTCAACGTATATAAAATTGTATGAAGCATCTCCGACGGCTAATCGGACAAATGAGGAATAATGCATATAGTTAAAATATAAGGATCCACTTAGATGCGGTTTAATGCACCTGACATGTTTTCCGTGTATTGCTCCGATGCAATTCCGAAAATTCGCTTTCGTTTCAAATTATTCGCAAATACCCAACCATTAGTCCTCAGTACATGCGGGAACGCTTCACAACGCAATGTATTACACATCACTCGACACACAGTTCTCACCATTTTACTTAAAGTTGAACGTCCAATTCGGTAGGAGTAATGTAATTCAATTAAGGTACTTCCTCCGCCTAAATACCTAAAACAACAACATAAATATCACAAAATAACATTAGGCATTTACCGACTAAATAAATTCAATACTGCAATCAAGAGACCTTCCCCTACGCCGACCCGCACCTGCAGGATCTCCGCGCAAAAGGTAACTAGAAGATGCTTTAATGGCATTTATGCAACAGCGTTCAACGCCGACATCAGCCCCAGAGGATGACGACCGGGCATTTTTTAATTCCCTGTTGCTGATGGTTCGGGAATTTACACCAGACAAAAACTGGAATTTCGAATGGAAGTTATGAACATCATTCGGCCTTTCGCGCCATCCGGCCTCGGGTACCTCCAGCTGCAATTTTCAATTCTGCACCCTCAATTTTCACAAACTCAATCGATACCTTGTCCTCACCCCCCTATGAACATGTTTCTTCTCCATCCTCCCAATCCCAACATTCAGCTTTCCAAAACGATTTTGATCTTTTTGACAACAGTAGTTTTTAATAAATCTATTTATTTAACTTTGTTTATTATTATTTTTACTTACCGTAATGTAACAGCTAAAATCTCTATCGGAGTTATTGCCATTCTCATGTTTGTGTCCTGCGCCTTCAGGCATTCGCTGAGTTTCACGCGTAATTCAT